ATGTTCATGCAACGAGCGCATGGTGTTCTGTGATGGAATGAGGGCACACCATGACTATGATATGGCAATGGGATGAGGGCACACCATGACCATGATATGGCAATGGCATGAGGGCACCATGACCATGATATGGCAATGGCATGAGGGCACATCATGACCATGATATGGCAATGGCATGAGGGCACACCATAACCATGATATGGCAATGGCATGAGGGCACACCATGACCATGATATGGCAATGGCATGAGGGCACACCATGACCATGATATGGCAATGGCATGAGGGCACACCATGACCATGATATGGCAATGGCATGAAGGCACACCATGGCCATGATATGTCGATGGCATGAGGGCACACCATGACCACGATATGTCGATGGCATGAGGGCACACCATGACTATGACGTGGCAGGTGGAGCAGGCCAGTGACCCTTCGCATGCACCTGCCACCCACATGGCACGAGCAGCAGGCAAGGCAGGGAGGCACACAGACGCCAGGTTGAAGAAATGACACAATCAGACATAACTGTCAAGTGAGAGACAAGTGGGCCTTGAATAATTTCTTCTGTTACTACTTATAGTGAGGAGACTGAGGTACCTTGGAGGTCAACGTGAGTGCGCAGGCGGTACCTTCGAGGTCGATGTCGTTGTCATGGGCGGCCTGCAGCATGTTGGTGCCCACAGGCACCTGCACCGTGGCCTCCGTGCCGTCCCTCTGAATGAACGTCACTGTGATGCTGCACCATGGCAGGGCATGGCAGGTGGGTAGGGTGTGTAGGGAGCACACGGCGCAGAAAGCATAGCGGGCACACAGGCATGCATGCGAACGCAATGAGCCGAAAGAAAATATCCGATGCGACTGTGGCCTATTACATGAGTGCACCCTACCATCCATGTACCTCTCTTCTCCTTCATCCGCCTTTCCGTCCTTGGCAGGGGCAGAGGGCGCTTCAGCTGCCGCGGCTGCGGTTGATGATGGCGAACCCCATGCTGACGCCAGCACTGCCACACATGCAGCGTGGGGATGAGAGGACGGGGCAGGAATGACAGTGCGAGTTGCAACACGATGGGATGCGGTGGATGAAAGTGGTGGCTATCGTTCTGACAGTGACTCGAGGGCACACACACACACACACACACACACACACACACACACATACACACACACACACACTCACACACACACACACACGTGCGCTACACGTGTGCGGGACGGCAGCGCACCTGGAGCAGTGGTGAAGCATCTGAGCTGGTCGAGGCTGTGGCTGGCGCCTCTCAGTTGACGCGCCTCAGACTCGCTGGCGCCAGGTGGGGTGGGGGAGTGGCAGAGGGAGGGCAGAGGGAGGAAAAACAAGGGAAGTGCGACGAGCAGAGCGAGATGAGTGAGGGAGGGGAGGTTGAATAGGGCGACAGTGGGTAGAGAGTGCGGGTGGGTGCAAATGAGGCATCTGCACAACGCAGGAAGCCAACCAGTTTAAGCAATCCCTGTTGTGGTTGAAATTATCGTCCCCATCCCCCATGCCCACTCAACCCCCATGCGCACTCACCCCCCATGCGCACTCACCCCCCATGCGCACTCACCCCCCATGCGCGCTCACCACACTCTCTGCCGCATCTCTCGCATCATCCGACTGCCATCACCCGTCGTGGCTGCTGCTGCCGCCTTGCCACGTGCGCGTGCGCGTGCGTGTGCGTGTGCGTTTGCGGGGGTGGCGGCGCCCTTCCCTGCTGCACCGCCACTGCTGCACGCATGTGAGGAGTGCGACGGGTGGGGGAGGTGCGGGGGCGCGGGGAGAGTGGTGGTGGTGGCAGAGGGCAGAGTGGAAGGAGACCTGGAGACCTGGAGGAGGGGGAGCATGGGAGTGCCTCGAGTGAGTGCCCCACACACTTGCATACACGCACGCGCACGGCCTCTCCTCCCCCCCTCTCCCACCACACACGCATGCACGCTCGCCTTGCCTCTCCTCTCGCCTTGCCTCGTCGCTCCAGCGGTCGTCGCTTGATCAGCGGCCGGAATCACTTGATCAGCGCGCGAGATCACCTGATCAGCCGGCGGAATCACCTGATGGGCGGAAACACCTGATCGGCAGGCAAAATCACCTGATCAGCGGGCGAAATCATCTGATCAGCGGGCGAAATCACCTGATCGGCACGGTGAGCAAGAAAGTGCATGACGCGGCCATTCGATCGGATCGCGGCGGACAGTCGCTGTCGTGCGGCCGACATGGCGACGAGCGATTGGATGGCGGTGGGTGATGCGGTGATTGACGAGGGCGCGAGACGAATAGAGGCCGGGATGAAAACGGGGTGAAATGAGAGCTGGTGCGCTGAGAAGACAAGGCTGGTGAACGATATACGGTCCCATGCGGGTGGAGCCTTGGAGTTGGTTTTGCGGAGATGGGAACGCAGCAAAGAACATGCATGAGCGAATGTTGTACGCGACACAGAAAAGTTCAAAACTACAAATATATCTAAGAAGGTTTAATCCAAATTTCATAATCCTTCATTCTTGCGTAGATCCTTGTTTAGACTCCTTGCTGTCAAACATAACTTATGTAGTTACTGTAGAATATATATGTTTGTGCCTTAGTGGGTAAAAATAGCTAGTCTATATTGACTTGTATCTCCCCATGCTATTTAATTATTCATTCTGATATGGTATCATCGTAGGTTATGTCCCCCCCTAGCCCGCCCCCCTCCCGGGCCGTTCGCGCCCGCCCCTAGCTGGCCCCCTGGCCGTCGCGTCCGCCCCTAGCCGGCCCCCTGGCCGTCACGCCCGCCCCTACCTGGCCCCCTGGCCGTCGCGCCCACCCCTAGCTGGCCCCCTGGCCGTCGCGTCTGCCCCTAGCCGGCCCCCTGGCCGTCGCACCCGCCCCTAGCTGGCCCCCTAGCCGTCGCGCCGGTCCCTAGCTGGCCCCCTGGCCGTTCGCGCCCGCCCCTAGCTAGCCCCCTGGCCGTCGCGCCCGCGTCTAGCCGGCCCCCTGGCCGTCGAGCCTCTCCTAATCGGCGCCCTGGCCGTTTCGCGCCCGCTCCTAGCCGGCCCCCTGACCGTTCGCGCCCGCTCCTAGCCGGCCCCCTGGCCGTTCGCGCCTGCCCCTAGCTGGCCCCCTAGCCGTTCGTGCCCGCCCCTAGCCGACCCACTTGCCGTCGCGGTCGCCCCCAGATGACGTCGCGGCCGTCCCGAGCCGTCGCGGCTGCCTCTAGCCGCCGTCGCGGCCGGTTCCAGCCGTCTCACGGCCGCCCCCCTCGCCGTCGTAGCCGCCCCTAGCCGTCGTCGATGCCGTCTCCAGCTGCCCTACGGCCGCTCCTGTCGTCGCGGCCGCCCCTAGCCGCCGTCACAGCTGTCCCTGGCCGCCGTCGCGGCCGTGTCTACTCGTCCTCGCAGCCGCCTCTACTCGCCGTCGCGCCAGCTCCTAGCCGGCCCCCGTTGCCGCCGCTGGCTGGCCCCTCGCGTCCGCCGGCCGGCCCCTGCATTCGCGTCGTCGCCAGCCCGCCGGCGCCTCGGGTTCAGCCCGTTCTTCCCGATCAGCACTGCCCTGCGAACCCCCCGGTACCGTACTGCACCGCTTTGCACCGCACTGTATCGCACTGCACCGCACTGTATCGCACTGCACCACACTGTACCGCACTGCACCGTACTGCACTGCACTGTACTGCTCTACACTGCTCTCAATTGTCACTGATGGCGGAGGTGCTTCGCTTTGACGCTGAGGGCCAGCTGATTGAGTTTGATGCGTGGCTTGCTGACCTCCGTCGCCACCTCACTGGTCAGCGGCAGGATGGCCACTCGCTGTCTGTCCATCTTGACGGTACCCTCCCCTGCCCTGACCCCTCCGTTGCACTGTCTTCTGACCCCTTGTCCGCTGAGCGTGAGTCCGCTGCGGCTGCTGCCCTTGCTCGCTCTGTCTGGCTGTCCCGTGACGCTGTCACACAGCTTGCTACTAGCAATGCCCTCCCGCTGTCCGAGCGACCTCGCTTCAGGTCTATCACCACTGCCCAGGCTTTCCTAGATGCTGTTGTCCAGCGCTATTCCACCCCGCCTACTGCCTTGGTAGGTCGCCTGATCCTCCCCATGCTCTTCCCTGACCTTGCGTCGTTCCCCACTGTCGCCGACCTGGCCGCTCACCTGCGCACTATAGATGAGACCTGGCGTGCTGCCTGCACTGCCACACAGCTTCTAGCCCACCAGCCGCCCCTCACCTCTACTCTCTACCTGCTAGCCACCCGCCTCCCTGACCATCTTGCCACTGCCCGTGACCACTTCCTTAGCGTCCACCCTGCAGACCTCGCCCTCACTGACTTTGTTGACACCCTGTCCGCTATAGAGGCCCGCCACCGCTCTATCACTCAGACCAGCGGTACTGTGCCGGTCCCTATCTTTTAGGGTTGCGCCCCCGCTCAGTGCACCTTCTTCGACGGTTCTGCTGCTGTAGCTGAGACTTCCGTTGTAGCACAGGTCCGTCCAGGGAAGGGTCGCCGCCCCAAGGCTGGGCGTGGCGGCGGGGGTGGGAGTGCAGGTGTAGGTGGTGCTGGAGCTGGGTCTTCCGGCGGTGGTGCGGACGAGGGGACCCTGACAGGTGTAGCCGAGCAGCCGTCTCCGCAGCCGCCGGTGTTGCAGTCGGACCCGCGTCAGCCGCAGCAGTCGCAGCAGCAGTAGAGACGGGCGAGTGGCCTCCCGCCCGGGTGGCCTGGCGCTGGTGGTAGCGCTGGACATAGTGGTGGTGCGCGTGGCGGGCTGCCGGGTGGTGGTTCGGGTGACACGCGCTGTCAGTACCTGCTCCATACCAGTCCTCGCCGTGGCTTCGTTTGCGGTAAGATCGGTCACTCCTCCGTCCGCTTTTTCCGTCGCCTGGACGACCTGTTTCGTCAGCGCTTCGGCCCGTCGCCCGAGCTCCCTGACTGGCACAGCTTGCTTCGTCGTAGGGTTCAGATTTTTTATCTGGATATGGATGAGATTGTTACAGCTCTGCATGTGACGTATGCTGATGACTCTAGTGTGCTTCCGTCTTATTATCCCTTGTTGCCTAGTGTAGGTGTGCCTTGTTTAGACTCCCCTGCTGCGTCAGGCGTAGGATCCCCTGCTTTGTTTAGCCTTGGTGCTTCCGTCGTTGCTTCGCCTCCGGCCGCCACTGCCGCGCTCTCCTTCACCCTCGACTCTGGCGCTTCCCGGTGCTTCTTCCGCACCTCCACCACGTTGACACCGCTTCCTATCCCTGCCGCAGTCTCTCTTGCTGACCCCTCCTCCGGCCCTGTAGTAGCCCGCAGTTCCACCACCCTCCCTTGCCCGGCGGTTCCTCCGGGCTCGCTCACAAGTCTGCACATCCCCTCGTTCTCCAGGAACCTAGTTGGTGTCGGCTGCCTTCAGGACCTTGGCGTCACCACTACGTTCCCTGGACACGAGCGGTACGCTGTCTGTATCAAGGCCGCCACTGGTGCCCCCCTGTTCACATTCCCACGGGACCCGGTCTCCGGTCTTTTCACACTGGACACGGTGACCCCCCCGGCTGGGACCCCCCCTCAGGTGGCTGCGTCTCCCCCGGTTGCTACTGCCTGCTCCTGTCGGTCTCTCACCCACCCGACCCTTCTCTAGCACCACCGCCTAGGTCACCCTGCTCTCCCACGTCTGCGTCACATGTCACAGCACGGTCTCGTCCTAGGCCTTCCGGGGTCGTTCCTCGAGTTTCCCTCCTCCCCAGCCCCACCTTGCATGCCCTGTGTCGAGGGCCGGCTCCGCCGTGTCCCTCACTCCTCCTCGTTTCCCCCTACCACTGCACCGCTACAGACTCTGCACCTGGACGTCTGGGGCCCCGCCCCTGTCCATGGGCCGCGTCGAGAGCGCTACTTCCTAGTGCTTGTCGACGACTACACGCGCTACACCACTGTGTTCCCCCTAGAGCGGAAGGTCGACGTGCCTGCCGTTCTTATCCCGTGGGTTGTTGCTGCGCGTGTCCGCCGCGGTCTCCCTGTCTTGCGCCTCCACTCCGACCGTGGTGGCGAGTTTGCCTCTGGTGTCCTTGGTTGTTTCTGTCGTACGGAGGGCATCACCCAGACGTTCACCTTGCCAGACTCCCCGCAGCAGAATGGGGTCGCTGAGTGAAGCATCGGTTTGGTCATGGAGGTGGCTCGCACCTCCATGATCCATGCCGGTGCACCTCATTTTCTGTGGCCGTTCGCCGTTCGCTACGCCACTCACCAGCTTAACCTGTGGCCGCAGCCCCAGCAGCCTCAGGTTCCGCTGACCCTTCTTTGGTCTGGGTCCCCTGGTGACGCGTCTGCGTTCCACGTCTGGGGCTGCCTTGCTCCCGTTCGTGCCTCTGGCACGGACAAGCTCACTGCCCGCACCCTTCCTTGTGTCTTCCTCGGCTTCCCCCTTGACGCGTCTGACTAGCACTTCTACCACCCGTCGTCTCACCGATTCTTTCACTCCCGCAACGTCACATTTGACGAGTCCGTCTCCTTCTTCCCCCGCTTCCCCCACCGCGGTCCCCCTGTTACCCCCCCCCTGTTCCTGGTCACCCCTTCCCCGGTCATCGCCGCCCCTCCTCCTCCCCCTCCCCGTCCTGCCCCCTCTAGTGTGTCCCACGTCACCCCACTTCCGTCGATTATCCTGGTTGAGGAGTCTGCTGACTCTGGTGGTCCTGCAGCGCAGTCCTCGCCGCCTGCCTCTTCTCAGGTGTCTCCTCCTCCGCCGCCTCTGCAACCGCTGTCGCCACCGCTGTCGCAGCCGCCGTCGCCATAGCTGTCGCAGCCGTCGTCACCGCCGCCGCCGCCGCCACAGCCGTCGTTGTAGCCGCCGCCGCCGCAGCCGTCGCCGCAGCAGTTCGTTGCCTCTGTGGGTGCTGGATTTGGGGTGGGTACTAGTCCTGGGACTCCTAACGTGGCTTGTCCTGGCGGGCCTGGGGGTGGTACCGGTGCTCGAGGGGTTCTGAGCTCTGGGGGTGCTGGCGTGGAGTGTTCTGGAGGTAGCCGCCAGGCAGCTTGCGGTCCCGGTGTTAGTGTCACACCGCCCCGCTCTTCGCCTGCTCGGCCTTTTGTCCCCTAACCCCGAGCCTGTGCCTCCTCCTCCTCCTGTCTACGGCCCTGTGTTCCCCCCTCCGGACTCGTCTCCGGCCCGTTTCCCCCCTCGTTCCCCTCTTGTGTCCCCTCCTCTGTCTCCTGACCCGACTCTTCCAACTCGCGTCTGGTCTCGCCGTCCCTCCCGTGCTCGACCTGTCTCCCCTGTCTCGTGCTCTCACCCTATGTTGCTTCATTCCCACGCGTCTCGTCCTCCCCTTCTCACGTCGCCCCCTCCGTCCTCCCTTGTCGTTGCTCTCCCCCCCCTCTGTCTGACTACCTATGTGCCGCTCGTCCTCTTGTTCCTCGGGTCCTTGCCTCTCTCGTTACCGACCCGTCTGTTCCGGTTTCGAGTCTTGACGCCCTTGTCGCTGCGGTTGCTGACTTCGCCTCTACCCGCCGCCTTGACTACGTCACTGCTCTGGTCTCTGACCCTGCCTGTC